TTCATTTTATTGAAGAAATTAAGAGCCAAAATATCGCCGAAAAACGTATGACTTCCCTGGACGTCGAATTATTATTTGCCAATGCACTACTGGAGGAAGCAATATATGTTATATGCGCTCATGCGTCTGAAACTCGTCCGTCGTCCGTAATGCCATGTGAAGTGTTGATGATTTGCATCAAATCGACGGAGTCATTATCCGTAGTCCACTCAGGCCAACCTTCGTTGGCGTTTGTATGGGTCACCTAGAAGAAAATATGTCATTAAAATTGAACACGGCAGCATTATACAGAAGATACATGAATGCTATATTTACGACTGTTTGTAAAAGGACGCTGCTGACCTACTTAATGTGATGAATAATTTGCACGTGAAAAGTAAATCCACGATGGCAATGGAGCAGTGTAACAAGCCATTGTTCCTAGGCGTCATCCTGTTTAGAATAGATGATGGTTCAGTAAGTCGCCCTGTTTTTTTATAAAATTACGTGGGATGGGTAAAACTTAAATTTAAAAGGCTTCTTGCCATCAAAATTGAAAAGAAATGAGGTGCATTCTTGTTTTCAAAGAGAAATATTTTCTTTAGTGCGACCCTAGATACAGAAATTGCCCACATCAAGGAACCCTTACTTAATCTTGGTTAGTCTGCAGGATTCAGTTCGAAGTAAAGCAAACCTTTGCGGTTAAAATTGACTGAAATGTCTGTTTCGAAATTGCCCGTCTTAATATCCCTACTTGATAAAGGCGATAACGTCTCGAACGCAAACAATCGACGCATTCGCTTCATCATGGACAGGACGTACAACGCACTTGAACTTGTCTTTATCATTTCCACTAGAAACCTTTCAAGTAACCGGACAAATGATGCCTTGCCGTTGCACGCCATCTCATATTGCGTGTACGACTGGCCGTGCAGATGCAAGTAAATTGGCAAACGCAAAGGCACTTTACAGCTAGGGCCGCTGAGCATTTGCTTAACTTGGTTTTCAAATTAAAAAACAGTACACCTTGTACGTCTGTTACGAAACATCCGTTTAATTGCGGTCATACTGTCGACCTCAAAAAAGCTTTCCGAGCGCTTGTTCGAGTGCGTACAACTCGGACATTAGGTTACCTAGAAGCAGCAAATATACAGCAGGAGAAGCCAGACCTATGCAAGCAGTTAGACCATGTGGTCATTCTGAAACTTTCACGCCTCGATCCGTTTATGACTGTGATTCATGATGTTTGCGGCGACATCCTTCATCCGTTCGTAGCCGTGAACCCTGACCTTCCTTATGTGCATTAACATTCTGTACAAATTCGTACTGCTGTGCACTTCTATTCGTAATCTGTATTATACAAAGATGGCATCCAGTCGGTGAAACACCCTGAAATTCTTTGGTACCAATAAATCCCGCTGTGCACGCCTGTTTTCAATGCATCACCGGGAAAAATGCTTCAGATGCTCTTTCCTTGAGCACGTAAGTTAAAGAAGCCGTAAGTTACTACTAAAAGAGTGCAAGAAAGAATATTTTTTATGTTTACCGCAAAATATTTCTGAATTTATAGGGACGGCGAACGCCAGCCGATAAAATGTATATCAAAATCGATTTTAGTTTATAAAGGCGGGCAAAAAAAGGAGTGCATTCAAACGCCAGAATCCTTGCGCGACCGAAATATCACGGGAATATGCCACAGAATAATCAGTGCTACAACCCTAACTAAGTAATCCTCCCTAATTGAAAGTGTATTTCAGAATTCCAGCTAGCATTTCATGGAATTGGTCACAAACTTTGCCTACGTTTAATTTAGAACGGTTGCGGATCAGAACGCCAAACCAACACCCCTATTTTTCCGTCATAAATATAGATCAGCGAATGCCCAGCCTACGTGGTCTCTTTCAAATAATTGCTGCGATGGCTGTCGCAAGCGCAATTATCGAGTCAAAGCCTGCAAAAAGAGAAAAGGGAGACTAAGAAAAAGTAAAAGTACACCTTTGTGTCAAGAGTGGAGACGTTTAGATGTGAGTTGCACGCTCGCAGGGATTGTCATTGTCTGTCTTAACCAACCCCAATGCGTCTGCCCATCTGGACAGTACATGCGCCTATTCGACCATAGGCGCTAAAATAAACGCGGGATCAAGTGTATGCCCGATGAAGATCACAAAAGCATTACAGCGTAAACCCCCTCAATACTAGTAGTTCGACCGTCGTGCCCGACGAAGTCCACCGTGTGCTCCAAAGTAAGGTGAAGCAGGCACGCAGACTTGCGCGTGAATTAGTTTACAGTGAGAGCAAACTTGCAAAGCATCTGCCGCACTCTCTTCTCCCTACTTGGGCACGGTGTTGAGACGTAGTCACGAGGACCGGAGGCGGGAGGAGGGCGGAGGTAGCTGGCACGGCCGCACTTTGAAGTACCACAACACCACATGGTCCACAGCAAACACTTTAACAGGCTTTTAACCAACAACAACTGCACTAAAACGGGTCAGGAAGACGGCGAGGATGACTGGGCAGCCATGCACACGACCTGCATACCCAACGGGGGCGAGGCGCATCTACCTGCCGGGAACCAGGTGCCATAGAACTGTCAGCGCATACCTGGCTGCAAGGGTTATGTTTTGCTCATACTGGCATAGCCCACGCTTACGGGCCTTTTGACCTTGACTGAATGCAAGCATTTGGTAAAGGTGGAGCGCATTTCGCTGTCATCTTTGGACTTTCAAGCGTCAAGGCTTTTTAAAACGTATGATAAATATGTTTTGCTGAGATTATACGGCAACGTTGTCATTCGGGTCCTATCTCATTACGAATCTCGCCAGCATTCCAAACCATCCTTTATGACATGTAAAATGCCGTTTGTCGCACGCAACTGAGACCTCAGTCTCTAAAGCCGTGGTTTTTCATTGATATATCCTGATTTTACGGCTGATTTAATGTCTTCTGATTCGCATCTCATCACTAATGCTGTGCCCTTGAAGGCAGTTGTAGAGCAGTGGAAATAAATGTCTTAAGATCATTTCTAGCATTTCGCTATCTACACCCATCAGCACCACGCCTACTAGTCAAAAATGACCATAGTTGAAACGGACTTCGATAAGTGAATGGACTGAGTACCTTTGGACGTAGTTCATCCTCTGCCACCATTAACAAACCGCATCAGATTGGACGGTTCATGATTTCTTCACCTCTTCACCCGCCGGTTCTAAAGAGTCATTGCAAAAATGCACGGTAGACCGTCTGTCTTTAACAAGTCTAACTTTCTCCAAAGCTCTGCGTACTCAGCACGCGCTCGTAGAACCTACTCTCATATATCAGATGTAGTCAGTATACACCACTGGTGAGCCCCATGAGTCGAGCGTTTTTCAACCATAAAAATTCACCCTCATCGTGGACGACGGCTGATTTTAAAAGGGTAATCTTAATCCTGTTTTCACAACTGCCCCTCAGATTTTTCGGGTCATTCCAGAATCAGCGTTGTTCTTAGATGCAACAAACAGACACAGTGACAATGTTGGCAATCAGACGAGGCCGGGTTGACTATTTTCCTTTCCGCAACAATAAGAGTCAAGCCGGTGGTGATTGGCTCAGAGCTGGTCGTAAACCCTAAAGAGTCAGCTGTGGTGATCTACAGTTCTTTCAACGCTAAAGCCAGTTAAAACTCTTTGCTGAGAGCCATAGGGCGAGGACACGATGTTTGTCTTATGCATGTAAAGAGAAATACAGTAGTAATTATTTGCAGAGCATAAGGAAGCGAGCAAAGAACTATATTACGTAATGAATGCAACCAATACCGCCTAACCGGTAGATGATTTTCTTCGTAAGCTGCGCACTTATCGCAAACAAAAAACCATGGATGGAGCATGGACCAATGACGAAAACTCAGTCAATCGATGTACTGATCTGTTATCCCCGCACAGTCATCTCCAGACCAGCGGCATCGGTCGTTGATTGGCTAATGACCTTCGCGACCGTCATTTGCTCCGTGGCCGTTGCCAAATCTGACGACGGTCTCTTGAGCGAGATGGAAGGAACATAATAATTGACAAATGGTTCTGGTGCTCAGCCAGTCTTCTTCTTCTCTAATTATAAAATACCAGTTGATTATAACAGTATGCAATGCCTTTGAAAAGAAACACGTTGCTCACACCTGGTTCACTACAATTTCAGAAGCAAAAGACTTATCTTACATATTTTCTCAACTCTGGAGATTGCAGAATAGTATTGACATTTGGTACATCTTTGCAGCACATCTCACTGCATATGCGATAAGATTTTCCCAAGACATTGCTGGCCGTCTCTCGCATCGGATAACCGTCCCAGTTGCATGACCTCCAAAATCCAAAACTGAACCCCGCATGAATGCCTAAGGACTGTGAACAGGGCATTTTGAAAACTTCCAAGACTGTATCACGAGTTATATAAAGACGCCATTCACGGTTTCATTCGCTAGCATTAGTGTTATTCGCCATCTGAACCCCTATATTTCCTCTTCTGCAGCTTTATGGTGTACGCTGTCGAAGGTCGTGTGGTCGATAAGATAAAGATTCCCAATCGAAAGTCAGGGAAGACGGTTTGAGTTGGACAAACTTTACTGCTTGGAAAGCGTTTACACAAAGGCTGTGTGGGCAGTCGCCGCAAGCGAGCTCCAAGCAAGCTGTTGTCTGCGTCCGCCCTCGAGGTGTTGTGTTTGCGCGTGTGTGCGCCCTTCGTTGTCTCCACGTCGCCAGCCAATCAGAGTGGGGACAGCGTTGATTGGCTTCGAGCACTCGCGCGTCCCAGCAGCGTCTCGACACGGAGTGTGAGGCGGACAGGACGGCAGTGTGACAAAGGCGGAGGGTGAGGAGACGCGAACCGCCACAGTACCCCCCGGCTAGACCGAAGGCGGAGCATAGCGATGCCGAAGGAACTGTTGATATCTAAAAAAACATGAGTGACCAAACGGTCAGGAAAGTGAACATGGCGTCCACTACGGTTGATATATACAGGGGGCACAGGATTAGATTGAGTATGGCTCGCGGTTACAGTGTTGTTTGTTGATGAAGGGGTAGTTGCAGTTGGGAGTTGTGGACATGAGGGCAGAGGAAGTATACGGGACGGTGGAATAGAGGGTCGAGGAGTCCGGAAACATCCTCACCACAGGATGGACCGACACGGCGTTGTTCAGCGGTCATCTCAGCGAGGTCTATCCCGGGTGAAAGCTGAAGATGAGCAATAGAGGGCCTTGACAGTGCGTCAGCCACCTCATTCCGTGAGCCGTCAATATGGCGGATGTCTGAAGTGAACTGCGAAATGTAGTCCAGGTGACGGATCTCCCGGGGGCTTAGCTTGTCAGAGTGGGAATGTATTGCAAACGTGAGTGGCTTATGATCAGTGAAAATTGTGAACTCTCGACCTTCGAGTAAATGCCGGAAGTGCCTTACGGCAAGATCAGCGGCGAGAAGTTCACGTCCGAATGTGCTGTAGCGGGTTTCGGCTTTGGATAGTTTCTTGGAGAAGAAAGCGAAAGGCACGGTAGAATCCGGCAGACTTTGTTGAAGAACCGCGCCAACAGCAACAGTGGAGGCATCGACCATCAGAGATATGGGTGCATCAGCATGAATGTGAGTCAGGAGGGTGGCATCAGCCAGAAGGACTTTTACCTGCTCAAATGACGTGAGTGCTGCTGGTGTAAGTTCAAAGGTGCGTTTAGAACCTGAGAGGAGATTGGTCAGACGTAGGATGGTATCGGCACAGTTCGGGAGAAACCGGCGATAAAAGTTTACCATACCAAGAAACCGTTGCAACTGACGCTTCGAGGTAGGGGATGGAAAGTCCCGAATGGCGGCAACCTTTGAGGGAAGAGGCCGAATGTCGTGGGAGTCGACCAGATGACCGAGAAATTCTAGGGAGGGCACACCGAAGACGCACTTGGACGGGTTGAGAACAACGCCAAATTGTTGAAGGCGGTCAAACACCGTTCCCAGATGCTCCATGTGCTCTTCGGTGGTGGAGCTGGCTACCAGAAGGTCGTCGATATAGGCGTAGACAAATGGTAGGCCGCGAAGCATTCTGTCTACAAACCTTTGGAAGGTCTGGGAGGCATTAAGAAGTCCAAACGGCATGCGCAGGAACTCAAAGAGGCCAAAGGGGGTGGTAACGGCCGTCTTTGAAACGTCCTCTGGGGCTATGGGAATTTGGTGAAAAGCACGGACCATATCGATCTTCGAGAATACAGACTTGCCGAATAGGGCACCGGCAAAATCCTGAAGATGTGGGACAGGGTAGCGGTCCGGGACAGTAACGTTGTTCAGGGCCCTGTAATCACCGCAGGGGCGCCAGTCACCAGTGGCGGCCTTTGGAACCATGTGGAGGGGTGAGGCTCATGGGCTTTCAGACTGGTGGATGATTCCCCTTTGAAGCATGTGCTCGAATTCGGCCTTGGCGGCAGCAAGACGTGTAGGCGCGAGACGGCGGGGGCGAGAAAACATGGGAGGGCCGGTGGTCCGAATGTGGTGAACAACGTCATGTGGTGGAATAGAAACGTTGAAGTTGGGACGAGTGAGGCCGGGGTATTTAGCGAGGAGTTGCCAAAATGGATTCTCGGGTTCAGGGTCCAAGACGGCAAGATGACGGGAGGTGTCAGAGGAAGAGATACCCCGGACAGTGAGGTTGGTGGTCTTGTCGTGTAGACGTGACTGACGGCAGTCGACCAGAAGATCGAAAGCGGCGAGGAAATCTGCACCGAGAATTGCACAGGGGATATCAGCAACGACGAAGACCCAGGGGAAGAGACGCCGGAGACCGATGTCCAGAGAGAGGGAGCAGGTGCCAAATGTGGTAATCGGCGATGTGTTGACGGCCTGTAGGAAAAGACCGGGAGTGGGGCACCGACGATCAGTTGGTGTGGGTGGAATGACACTTAGCTGGGCACCAGTGTCAACCAAGAAACGTCTGCCACTCCGGGTGTCGCGGACGTAAAATGTGCGACCAGGGTTAGAGCTGTCGGAAAGATTGCTTGCACTGACCTTCCGGCTGACCGGTTTTACCCGTTTTTTCTGCTTGAAATTGAAGGAGCAAGGAAAGATGCAGCGACGGGCTTTAGCACCGAAGGTGGTGTGGTACCAGCAGGTGGCAGCTGCGTTTGGACGGGCTGAATGAAAAGACTGGGCATGCGAGGAGGCGGTTGGCTCAGAGATGAGACAGAAACTGTGGGCTTCTGGAGAGTGGCTATATCATCGGCCAGCTTGTTGAGCTCGATCTCTAACTGCGAAATGGGAGACGCAGGAGGAGATGAGGGAGTTGAGAGTGCTGAAATAGACGGCTTGGAAAAACCGTGCATCTCCATAAGCCGATCAGCCATCTGAGTAAGTTGCGTTGCCGAAAGAATGCCTAAGGCGGGTGCCAAAATATGCTACACTTCCGGTGGAAAGTTGTCCATTATCAACGCCTGACTTTGCCGTAGATTAGGAAGAACGAAGATTGCTGTTCGTAAAGGAGTCACCAATTGTCGAAATTTGTGTGATCGACAAGATAAAGATTCCCAATCAAAAGTCAGGGAAGACGGTTTGAGTTGGACAAACTTTACTGCTTGGAATGCGTGTACACAAAGGCGGAGGATGAGGAGACGCGAACCGCCACAACGCTGTCACCAGGAAATTCAGTTCAGTATAATTCGGTATATATGAGGGGTAAAGGCAGAGCCTTGGAAAACCCTATTTAAGGATAGAAGTTTGAAAAAAACACGTAGATAATGAAATAGCAGTTATGCTAGTCATTGATATTGTGTAAATACCTCACCATCAAGCATAAATTTATCTAACTTTCTTTTGAAGGCCTCAACGTTTTCTCCTAAGACAATGGAGTTCGGTAATTTGCTCCATTCTTCAACCAGCCGATGAGAGAAGAATTTGGCCTGCAATTCAGGTTTGGCATATTCTAGCATCAATTTGTATTGGTGCACTCGAAGATTTGTCGCCCACGCCAGTTCGAAGATATCGTCAAACTGAAGAGCACAATCTAGCCCTCAGACGATCCTGAAGGTCATGGCCATATCCCCTCTATATGGTCTATAAGAGAAAGGAAATATTTTTGGCTTTTCCAGGCGTCTCTCATAAGGTAAGCTACTTAATATGAATACGGTGAGCATACTTTCAAATGTATCATTTTCCCTGTAGGTAGCCAGCCGCCGGTTGGGCTACTGTAGTGCAAGCATATGTTCATTTTAAACGCACTGTCTGAATAATCTCTTCCAAAGTCGGCAACCAAACACAAACGTCCACTCAATGCGCATAAGTAGTAAGCGTGTAAACACGAAGTACATTCGAACGATGAACACATTATGCTGCAAAGGGTATATTTTTTGGAAGAAAGATAGCAGGCAGCGCTAGGTTTACCGCAGGAGGACACTTTAAAACAGGACGGTGTAATTTTTTTAAAAAAAACGAGAACGACATCATATACCGCGTCTCGGTGTTAGCATCCCCGTTTTACACAATGTCAGCATAGCATCAGCGACTTCTGCTATTTGGCAGATCTGGCGGTGTGCTCTAGTTGACCATTAAGCAGGGTTTGACAGAAGAATATGGACCCCACGTATTACGGGTGAACTTGGCCCACAATTTAAGGGGAGATTAAAATCTGGATTAGGGTTAGTGACAGGATTTTGTTTAGTGTTGATGTTGGGGTTTAGTAGGGGTAAATTTTGGAGTATAACTAGGAGGGCTAGGGTCCGGTATTTCAAGGTTATGACTGGAGCCAGGTTTGATTAAGAACTGAAGTTTAAACATCGGAAGAAGAACCTTTCGAGAATTTATCGCGAGGGGAATCATATTTCCGAACCCAGTCACAAACATTTCCGACGTTAGGCAACTAAACTTTCATTGCGTGAGTGAAAATGGAGCTTCAGAGGGTTTACCGGTTCTTCCACTGCATCAGAGGCATAAACAACATCTGCAGTGGCGGTTATGCCAACCATGATGGACCACCTTTTCAGACCAGACAGTCCTCGATAGCTGCATCTCTTGCTCCATCTACGCTGCCTTCTTTCAGTTTTCCAGACAGATTGGGCGTATATTCCCACTGCTGTCTGCTCCAACCTATGCGCAGCGGCCTTCTGTCAAAAATACAAACCTTCCTCTACTAATGCTTGATTTTTTTCTCCTATAACTAGGACTTTGTCCGAGTATAGCTGCAGTAGCATTCCAGGATTTATGCGTTATACTACATCATGTCATTGTCCATAACGCCACTCATCTCACGCCAAAATCAGTTCCGCTTCAAGCACGATTCTCCTACGTCGTATTTGTAACCTCGCGTATTTCCTTACTGTGATGAAACGAAAACAACACTTGCGCCAAAGTTACATGTGCCGGGGTGTCAAACAGGGCTGTTAACCTCCACAGACAGCTATGAAAGGCAGGGTATTAGGACAGGACAAGACGTCAGCATTACGATGAACCACAACCAAATACAACGCAAATTCTCTTGACAGTTCTGTTGTTTGGCGTACTGGTGCAGATCACCCTTGTGGAACGGAAGGAGGAGGAGGAGGAGGATTAGTCGAAGGGGGCGCAAGGGTAGGTGGGTGCGCAAGAGAACGAGGGTGCAGTGTCTCCAGCCTGCGGCACTTGGTGGGGTAGCAGTGGCTGCCATCACCACCACGAAGGTTTTGCCTCACTGCTGCCAACATCCTGTCTGGGACTGGTAAACACGCATAATCCGCCATTTCCTGCTAACCAATAAAGAGGTTGTCACTTACTTGTGCCTTCTCTACTTGAACTACAGGTCAAAGCTGTGATGTCAGAGAACTGACCACATTTTAAAGGATTGGTTTTTAACCGGGGCGGAAGGAGAAATAGGATCAGTCGAAGGGAGTGTGGGGGCTGGGACTGGTAAACCGCCACTTCTAGCTAACTAATGAAGATGTTGTTCTGTCTACTAGAACTGCAGACAACATCTGTGAAGCCAGATAACTAACTAGTTTTGGGCAAGAGTTTCCACCCTGGGATTTCCTGCCTTTCAGGTAAATATGCATTAGCACTCGACCGGGGATAACTGGTAACCGGAGCTTCTGTGCAGTAGGTTGCAATTAATCAAATAACCACCTGTTAAAGCCTCCCCGCCTCTTCATGGCCAACGAATTGCCACCAGTTACAAGACCCTGTTTGGCATTCGTTCATATGTGAGGTGATAAAAAAAAACGATTGTTCACTTCGTTTTTGGGGCTGTACGCAAATCGGTAAACAGTCGAGTCCCGCATCAGTACTTTGCATTGAAAACCAATAAGATCAGAATCTGTTTTAAAGATAGAAGCGAACAAGCGAGTTCCAGGAGGCAGTTCAGAAGGAGAAGATGTGATCACTGGAACCAGAAGTTTATTGGCCTGATGTTTCGGATTCTCACTCGAAGCCATCATGAAAGTCCGTAGCAGATATAGGTAGTGGTGGCACAAAGACTGCAATATTTACAGCACTTTGTCGCCGCGCGGCCACATGCGTGCTATAATTAACAGCTTTCGCGAGCACCACGGAACCCGGCCATATTTTCAAGTTCCAAGAGCCGAAATCCTCGCAGGAGCTGACAACTGCGTGCTCCGCGAGCTGTTTCAATAATGATTCTTAGGTCCGCAATCGGTCAACAAGCGCAGTGACCTCCCGTTACCGTACTCTATGTCGAAACATTCCTTGGGCAGGTGAAGTAGTCACGTGGCGAGGGGGTGGGTGAGAATTAATCCCTGTGACAGCTGGCCGAATTGCCGAGCAATCGTATCGCCAACATCCAACATTACTCATGAAATTGCGGCAATTAACGACTCGGACGAGCTACCATATCTTTAGTAACGACCCACAGCGGTGATCGTGAGAGCCGTAAATTAGAGTACGCAAGTGGTCTCATGGCCGCTACGTAATATAAATACTGCACTCTTTGTCCCTCCACTACCTATATCTGCGACTGTCTCTGGTAATGGGTCGAGCGAGAATCCCTTATCAGACCAATATACTTCTTGTCCCAGTGATCGCATCTTCTATCTTAAAGACTTTATGTTCGAGTCCTGTTCAGCGGTAAATACTGCACATCAGTCCATATGCGTGCCGAAACGTCTCTTTGTTAATTCCTAAAAATACGTAATCTGATGTAGTAAAACGCGGGTCCTAACCTCTTACTACACATTACTATTTGGGCGTCCTCTTACAACCCCCTCCACCCCTTCTTATTAAAGTCTATTTAAAGTGCTTCATGAGGCATCATATGCGGTTGTTTACATTCCATCTAAAAATTTACAGGCGCGTTGCTTGGATTTCATTTCCAGATCATTTACACAACTATTTTCCAACTTTGGAAGGTGCCTGTCTCAAATGTTGCACCT